TCCCAATTGGTCAGGATCATGATTAGTCACAAACCCAATGTACAACTAGGAAATGTCTCCCTTAGTTACATCACCTCCCTGCTGGTAGTTAAGAGGACAGAGAAATCCCTACACTTCCTAGCATAGGCAGCAGGTCTGTTTTCCAGACACCACATGACTTCTTCCAGTACAGCAGGCCCCAGTTTATTTGAACTTTTCTGAACTTGACTTCAGAGAAGTGTGTCTTTAAATGAATTCCTTACCCTGGCTCCTCAGCTTCCAATCTGGATTTTCTGATGAAAACGCCAACATCTTACAGTGAGACTCTTGGATGGGGCCTTTTTCTAAACATTTAACTATACACACCAATTCTTTGCCACTCTGACTAGTGGAAGGAAATCCTACAGATTCCTATTTTAAAGGGGGTCTAACCGGTGACCCTGTCTATTCATTTACTTTATTACATCACTATGATGTGCATAAGGCCCAAGTGCACTTACTGGAGGGGCTTTGCTCCTGAATGGCGCATCTGATGGACTGAGAGGTGTTTGCGTTGTTTGAAGGTCTGCCCACATTCATCACAGATATAATTCCGTACCTCTGCAGGGAGAACGGACATGGTGAAGGAGTCATTGGCACTGTTGACACCTTAACACCTCATTGATACACAGAAGCCCCTGCTTACCACAAGCAATTTAAGCTAAACCGTGAAGTTCCTTCACTAGCACCTGATGGGGGAAGTAGCTCAAATCCTCCCAAAAGATGGCATGGCCTGGAGGCCTATCAGTACCAAACAAACAGTGGGAAGGGGGAGGAAGGGGGTCTTAAGCAAATACCACAGTGATAGGGCAGTTTCATACCCAACACAAGGTCTTGGCACAGTGAAGTCATCATCTTGTTCTTGCATAACACCCTCCCTTCGGTTGTGAGCAGCCACTGTCAGCAGGAAGTACCTGTATGAATGAGTTTCACATGGCGCTGTAGGTACCGATCGATCATGAACACCTTGTTGCAGCCAGGGTGGGGACAAGGCCTCTCCCGCACTTCTTCATGATGCTCCTTTATGTGCTTCTAAAAATAAGGATTGGAGTCTCTTTACCCTAGTACGGGTCAGAAGTTAATTCACACTCCTCATCAATAGCTTACATAGCACAAGCCAGAAGACTCAAGGGAAAAAGGCAGTAGTGCAGGCCTACACATCACCTCTAGTTTCACTATGTGAAATGACTCAAGCTTGCATCCTAGCCTGCAAGTCCATCCTTCTGTAGGACTTCAATAAAACATTGTTAAACCTTCTCTCCACCAACATTAGGCCCCAAGCAGCCCATTAGCCTGCAGCGTTTCCAAAAGGGCTCCCCAGCAAGGCAATGGCTGAATCTCAGGACAGAAGACGAAGCACAGCGTGAGTTGGAAAGAGACCAGTTCCTCTTTCCACTTGGAACGGAACAAAGACCTCAGACACTACACAGGTCACACAGCTGAACTGTTCACTTTGACCCATCCCTGTCCTTCAAGAGGCGGGAAAGGAATGCCCAGATACCATTCTTAATTCTCTACTCGCATGAAAGGTGACTCGTCCCCTTTAATAGCTCACAGCACCTACACTGGAAATAACAAGTCGCATGTTAATTCTTAACTTACCTTCATGCCATCGGCCCCTCTGTATACAGCTGTGCACCCCTGGTAAGGACACTTGTAGATGGTAGGCAGCTCCTCCCTGAAAAGCAGAGAATTACTCCAGTGAGATTGTGCTAATCTCGGAGAGTCTCACGCCTCCGTGCTCAATTCAATTACCTTTCACATTTGATCTTTTTTTTCCAGCCTGGCTTGGGTCCTGGCTTCTTTCTTATTTTGGGCTCTTCAGCCTTCTTCGCTTCTTTATTTTCACTCTTTTTGTTGGACCCCCTAAGGCAAAGAACAACAATGTAAAGAGATGAATGAGAATGTTTGATATTTCATTTGTATTGAATTCAAGTCTAATTTCACCTGAAATGGCCCAACTAGCTCAGCGAAGGTCTGGAGACACACAGGTGCTCTCCGCACATGGGAGTGCGGGAGGAGGAGGAGGAATGCAGCCCCTGATAGATCACATTCACCTGCTGTGCAGCTCAGTGAACCATTCTACTGAGGCACCGTAAATCACGTCTCTAGGTGCCAACAGGTTAGGAAGGGAGTGAGGGAGATGTGGGGAGCTTGAGTTCTGGGTCATGTGAGAGCAAACAAAACCTTCTTCCCTGGGTTGGCCTCCCCCATCCCAGAAAACCCAAAGAAGTGGGTCAGGGGACGCTGATGCTAATGCCTGCGCTATACCTATTCTGTGGATAAAGAACCAAGTTGTGTTAAAAAAGCAAAGTAAAAAAAGCCCCTTACTTCTTTTCTGGATAAGGCTCAAAGGAGTCATCTGAAGATTGCACAGTTCTCTTATCATTCTCATCTTCACTCAAGAAGTCTCTGAGAAAGAGAAGAAACTTTATAATACCTGGTTTGGATGAAACCTCAGCACTAACACTCCAATTTGCTGGTTTCTTTAGCAGTCATCAATATTTGTTCTTCAATCTCCTGCACAAAAATCATGGCAACTGAGGTGCAAAACAGTCTCTTCCCACATTATCTCTTAAAGCAAGAAAAAAACACACCCCAAGGAACACTTGAAACTGCAAAATCAATTTCTTTGGAGATTACAGCCCAGCAAGAATAAACTGAGGATTGTAATGAGAAAAAAGTCTGGCCATGCAGTTAGAGATTTACTGGAAGTTGTAAGAGTGGAATTGTCACAGCCAACCTCTGCAATAGGACAGGCAATTTTGCAGAGCAAGAACATAATACAATTGTTCTGACACAAAGTTAATTACTCTGCAGCTCACTCCACATTCTCCTAACAGCAGCCAATAGGCTTGGGCTTTTTATCCTAGTTATAGAAAAACAATTCCGGGGTCAAGAAGGAGACAACAGAACATTCTGGCATCTTCTGTGCAACATTTTTCAGTCTCCCAGCTACATTTTAAATTACGCTTGCAAAAGGCAGGCTAGTACTTTTGACCCAGAACAACTATGCTATATGGTCACTTATTTAGGTACTTCACTTTAGACACCCTCTTTTAGGAATCTTGGCCTAATTTTCTTCCACTGTTACGAGGGGTTATGATGATTGCAAAAATTGATAGGCTCTAAGTGTCATTTACTGCCACTCGGCAAGTTCCCATCAAACATGCTCCTTTTGTAAGTAAAGACCAGATTTTGCTAAGTGCAGTGCAATATCCACACCCATGACTGTTCTGGAATCCAGACTCTCAGTAGCTGGAAATGAGAATGAACTATGAGACAGAATAGAAGCTATATGGGCCTGCAGTGCTGGCAATCATCTCACTAGACCCAGCGCAGAGCTGGGCAATACCAAACTGGGTCCTTGAAAGACACAGGGCAGCTCTGCTGGGAAACTTTTTCAGAAGCTGCTAAAACATCTATCAGGGATTCCAAATGCCATTTAAAGAAAAACGGGACACAATTAGGAAAAAGGAATACGGGGTGTCAACTTAGTGAACTTTTATCAAGATCACTACAAAGAAACCAGTCTCTGTCAGATGCTGGGTCCAAGGGAGGAAGGGGTCTCCCATGACCGGTCACACTGGAGAATTAGATTCCCCTCAGCTGATCATTTTCATGCTTGCAAAGAACATTTAGGCTATTTTAAACCCACTCTTCTCTCACCCCTCAGAAAGGTCACTGAACTCGTCTTTTACCCGCTCATCCGACGTTGAAGACAGAACCTGCTTCCCACTCAACTGTCCTAGGAAATAAAGGAGAACACTGCATATTACAAACAAAAAGCAGCTAAAAGAAGCCCGCAAACGGAGAATTCACTCTCAGCAGCTGGCTACATACACTCTCTTTGAGGATGGGTTAACCACATATGTGACTGCAGGGCTTCACAAGACCTGGGGCCTTCACCTCCTATACGCCAGGAATTGTTATGGATCTGTTTTGCCCCAATGCCCATGTAAACACTCTTGATTCTGACCCATACCAGTTTCTGATTTGTGGTTGTAATATATCTGAGACTAAGTAGCTTTCAATTACGTTTCTTCTGGTCAGCACCAGGAAGTCTCGCTCACGCCTTTTTCAGATGCATGATCCAGAAAACAAGGTGGAGTCACCCAAGCCCACCTGTTTAAAGTCAGGAGATAATCCCCTGTGGTGTCACACACATCACCTTGAGAAGGGACAAGAGATGAAGGTGCCAAATCAAGCCTACAGGGTGAATGGAAGCAGCTCTCTAAGTACTTACTGGTCCACTACTGGAATCATGCTGGAAAGTTTCCCGTGAATGTCTGAGGGCAGTGACCAGGCTCTCCCTGGTTCCTCACACACCTGCTGTGGTGCTGGAGAGGGAGGAGGCAAGGCCATCCACCCAGCAGCTCAGGGGCCCACCTTGTATTTATTAACAATAAGGGAAACTGTGGTAGTGTAGCCCAGGAGCAAAGCGCTAACAACTGCACTGAATTGTCCAACCCCCTGCACAAATGGTTCTTTGAAATGTCAGCACACGCCACATGGAAACACACCAAGAGCTCCCAGAGTGCAGAGGAGCAGTCCTCCCCACCATGGCCCATTTCACTCACTCGGCACTTTTCATCTTGAATCTCCACTGGGGCGGAAGCAGTCTCATCCCCATCAACAGACTGAGAAACTTGGGCACAAAGAGGCAAAGTGACTTGCTCAAGGCCACAGAGCAAGTGCGTGGCAAAGCCACGATTTGACGCCCCAGCCCTGTGCTCAGAGCCCAGCTTCCGCGGTTTATTTTTAAATACGCTTCCTTTCTGCAATGCTCAGTTTCTAACATCAACCTGGACTGAGGTTTAGGTGCTATTGATTGCTGTCTATGCCATCCTGGAAAACCACCCATCCCGGAGGTGATAGCACAGTCAGAAAGTTCTGCATGGACCCCAGCCTCGGAGTCTGGGGAAAAGGGCCTTCACTTTTCCCCATACGGTTGGAGGTCGCTTTTTAGGCAAAACTCTTACCTGGGGCACTGCTCAGTGGAGAGGCTGACTGGGGCAGACTTTTCTCCTGTAAAGAGACTGGACTGTCCTCTTGTGAATGAGATGAATTCCTGCTCTGTGGCAACGGATTCTCAGCTCGGAGTGGCTCCGATGTGGTCCCTTTGTTTACTGGCTGCTCGCAAGTGCCTGTCCTTGCTGGAGCAAGCTGGGGCCTGGGAGCAGAGGCAGCCCCAGCATTGTCTGCACTTGCCCCGTTGTCAGTCAAACGCTGTGCTGTGCTCTTGTTCCATTCCCATGTAACAGACAAGGCGTTATCGACAAGCACCGTGCTGCAATCAGAATCTGTATCCATAACATAGTCATGCCCGTTTCCACAGCCCCACACGGCTCGAATTATCCCACAGTACTCGGAAGATAACACACTCTGCAGGCTTGGCACAGACTGGCAGTTCCCCGCATGGTTGTGGGTCCACGTAACCAAATTATGCAGGCACTGGGGGCTGGATGTGATCAAGTCTACTGTTCAAATGGGAAAGAAGAGCATGCCAGCAGTTAGTCGCTTTGGCAGTCCCAGGCTGTCGAACGGTGCTTATCCCCACTTACATAGCAAAACAACCCATTACCATGCTATCTATCTGGCTCTTTATGCCATGCCCAACAGCTAAGCTGAACCATTTAAAGACACCTGAAACGAGTGGCTGTAAAACATCCAGAGTTGATGGGGGAGCTCGGGCAGGCAGAGGCCCCAAAAGTACTTTTTAAAAGAACGCATCTATGGGAATTTTTTAATGGTCTGGTTTTAAAAAATAACCTGGTAAATCGGGAATCCTACAAAGCTGTTTTCTGCTTCTCTGCTGGGTCTGAGGGACTTTTGGGCAGGCCCAAGAACGTGACCAGATATACTCCGTCCTAGCCCCCTTCCCCTCTCTGAATGCCCTGCTGCCTCTTCAGCTGATACCACTACTGGAAAACCCCCTTGTGTGGAACCTGCTAGGAGAGCGAACAGGCGAGATCCCGGAGCAGTGCACAAGTCTGATGTCCTCGTCTAGTGCATGACACAGGAAGTACAAAGGACCATGAAGCAGTGACACTGACTAGAGACACAACTGTCAAATGCACTAAAGGAACAAACTGAAGGGAACTTCTTTAAATGACTAGTTTTCAAGTTAGTGGCGTGTCGTCTGAGTGTCCAGTCGAAAACCCCAAACCCTCCTTTGACAGTATCACAGAACAAACAAAAAATAGTTCCCAATAATTCTGTCCTGCACTTACCCAAACAGGGGGCTTCTGCATCTGGCTGTGGCTGCACATCACTGTTCCTACACACAAAACAAAGCAGCACCTGAAGAATCTCGTCCAGAAAGACAGAAAACCAGGACCATGGTAGCAGCTAGAGACAGGGCAGTAACCAAACTAATGTATCTCAACCTGGCAGTAACAGATACAGGAGCACATGCTGGCTACAGAGAAAACATATTCAGTCATTAGCTGTTTACAGCTGCTAAAAATACATCCTGTCCTGGGAGTTCAGTGCCCGGAAATTCCACAAGTAAACGAACCTATACAAATATACAGAAATGTATGACTTGAAAAATGAACATGAATAAAAAAACTCAATACATACTTTCCTTTTGATTTTATATGGCCTGTGGGCGATGCATTCACCCTCTGAATAAACGTCTTGAGGACGCTGCGACATTTGTAAAACTGGGCATGGCATTTCTTGCAGACATATTGCGGGAGAGCAGGATCTTGTCGGACTGCTACTCCGACCAGTCGCTGGAAATCTGTGAAAAACACTTGATCCACACGTCGCTGCTTCTCAGAGTTCTCTCCCGTTACAGGAACCTTCCCAAAAGCATTCCGCAAGCTCCGGGAGGAAAACTTCCCATGGCAGAGTCGGCAATATCCTACGCTTAGGGCTCTACCAATTCCTAAGTAAGAAGGAAGGATGAAAATAAGTCAGTTCTTACCATTGTACAGGGACTGTCGTGTGTTTGTACAGCACCTAGCACACCGGCCCAGACATGGTTGTGGCCCTTACGAGTTACCACAGTACAAATGTTACACAATGGCTTCACTCTAAGGCAGTGCATTGCCTTAAAAGAGGCTTGGATGCAGAGCAACCAGGGCACTCCTTCACTCCAGCCCAAGATCAAGGTAATCAGGTGGGAGGCATGCCTGAGGAGTTAAGGAAACAGCTGCATTTGAGAAGCCAGCAACCGCTGCTGTGTAAACCTGTGCTCAGGACCAGCAAGGGCACCAGTGAAATGGGATTAAGCAGCATGGGGGGACACAAACCTCTCCCTCTAGAGTTCATCAACCCACAAGCGATTACTTCAAAGTAACACACCCTGCCCGCCCAAGGACTGAACAGCCTGCCAGCCCAGCACCATGCCGGCGTGTGACTCTCCAGCCCTCCCATGGCAGCCTACTGCACTCCTGCTGAACTACCCTGTAAAGAGGATTTTAGTTCTGCCCTTACACAAAGTGACAGTTACTAACTGGCAGCAGGGGCTGGGTGACTACAGTGCCGCTGTATCCACTTCTACCCCAGCTGAATACAGATCACAGACTGACCCCTGTCCACGGGGGCTTGCCTGACCCAGCGAGGGAACACAAGAGATTTCTGTCTGCTGACCCTAAGGCACACGCCTCTGAGAAGCCAGCGCAACATTTCAAATCTTACAACTTCACAATGCGCAGCACCCAGTGTGCCCAGAAACCAAGCACTCAACAATCAGTCAGGCCCTAGCAGAACAGTATTAACATCATTTAAAACTGGGTTTATGTCACTGCAACAGCGATGTCATCCAGCCAGAACCACAGGCTCCATCAGGAAAGCCCATGGACCTTCCCCAACTGTTCAGCCTTATCCTTGGCCTCTCTACACCATCCCTGTACTACAGCTTTTCCTGCCTCTGACGCTCCCACCATGCTCATCTGAGTGCACAGTCCTTTCCCAGGCTCTGGGGTTTTGCACCCCAGAGGGCAGTATGTACCAATGGACACTAGAAGGGTGTACATGGGAGCTGCAATCCCTTCTGATACCAGGGAATCCAAGCAGTACCCTAGGCCGTTCCCCTCACCCATGTCTGAGCTGAAGAGCGGACGGCCTTGACCTGCACGATTCTCTGTGGATGAGGAGCGGCACAGGGCAGTAAAAGCCCTCCCTGCTCAATTTGGAGTTTCTTTACAGGCAGGAGAAAGCTCAGACACTACCGATGGCTTTTGGGGCTTTGATAGGGTTTTATCACTACTTATATTACAAATGTTGCAACTTGACTTCATGTGTAACTGTCTGCTTTCAAAAAAAAAAAAAGTTTCCCCTTCAAACAAACAATGTAGCTGTTTCAGGTACAACCCTCAACTCACACAAATATAGACAAGTTAATACAGAATCAGTGCATTCTCAAAGGCCCATGGTCTAGGGCAGGGGTTCTCAAAGGGGGGGACAGGACCCCTCAGGGGGTCGCAAGCTGTCAGCCTCCACCCCAAACCCATTTTTGCCTCCATCATTTATAATGGTGTTAAATATATTAAAAAGTGTTTTTAATTTATAAGGGAGATCGCACACAGAGGCTTGCTATGTAAAAGGGGTCACCAGTACAAAAGTTTGAGAGCCACTGGTCGATGGTGTCCAGTACTCCGGTAGTTCAGAACAACCCTCCCTCTCTTCCACACACTTAGCATAATGCACTGTCAAGGAGAGATTGTACTTCCTGACTGTAGCGATGACCAGCTCATGCCTGGAAGCATGGCAATGATAACGCTTCTAATGTGTATCCTCATTCATGTAGCTGCCAGTAGAAACCTTTCATAGCTATCGTATAATGGGTGGGGGCAGCTTTAAATGCTGAAAGGTTTAGACCATCTGTGCCCCAACCTGCTCATTTTATTCTGTCACACAAATAAGTGGCCTTAACTTACTGCAGACTCTACATTTCATTTGAACAGACAACTTCCTAATTCTGCTTTTTTCAGCAGATTTCAAATCCCACAATCTGGAACATTCATTGATGTTTTCCCCATTTTTCCTCTCTTCTTTTACTATGGAGTGTCACCCTGCCCGGGGATAAACCCCTCCAAACATCGTTGCAGACAGGCACACTGGGTGCTTGTGTCAGAAGCAGAGCTGCTCCCAGTAGTCCCCCAGACAAGAAGATAGAAGATCAGGATCGGAAGGGACTCCCAGCACTTCTCTGGTGAGGAGAATTGACAGATGACGGGTTTCCTGCCACTTTCTGCACTTGTTTGGGGCTGGATTTATAGTTACTCTCAGCTCCTCCCCCATCACCCCTGCTAGCAGAAACCGCATTTCCTGGGCTAAAGAGCGCTGGCCCAGCAGCCCTGGACTCTGGCAGCCTCCAAGCCCCCGGGAGCTGGTTTGCTGCCCCCACGGCCAGGGACTCCCACTGGTGGCCAAGATCCAGGTCCCCCTTCTGTGCCTTTCCCAGGCCCGGCCAACTCTGTCCCTGGTCCGAGGCCAGCTGGCCCTAGCTCCCGGGAGCCGAGGCCCGCCCTGCCATTTTAGGGTGGTTTGTGCAGGTGATTTCGGGGACGGAGGAGTGTCAGCCGGCAGCCCGGGCTCGGAGAAGCCACTCCTGCCCCAAAGCATCCCCCGCCCGTGGGGCCGGGCCCCGCTCGCCCGAGCTCGCCCCCGGGGTGTGGCCGGGCAGGAGCGCGGGGGCCCGGGGGGGAGCGGCTCCGTCTGGGCTCCCGGGGCCCATCGAGCGTCTGGCTCCGCCGAGCGGCTCAGAGGCCGCGGTGACGGGCGGGCGCGGGGGGAGCCCCGGCCCGGACACCGGCCCCCAAGCCCCGCGGGGGGTCCGGTCCCCTGGTCCGGTCCGGTCCGGTCCGGTCCCCTGCGCCGCCGACACCCACCTGCCTCCTCGGCGCCGTCCTCCGGCTCGGGCTGCACCGGGGCCCCGCGCGCCCCCTGCCCCGCCCCGGCCGCCTCCTCCCGGGCCGCGCGGCCCCGCCGCCCGCTCCCCGCCCGGGGCTCCGGCCTGCGCCCGCCGGCGGGGGACAGGAACCGGCCGCGCCGATCCCGCTTCATCGCCGCCGCCCAGGGCCCGCTGCGGGCGCCTCCCGCCTCGGCGCTGGGGCTGGCGGGGTCGCGGCGGGGCACTGCGCCCCCTGGCGGCCCGGAGGAGCCGAGCGCAGCCGACCCCCCCCGTCCTCCCACGCGCGGGGCTCTCCCAGCCCGGGCTCCGCCTCAGCCACCCCACGCGTGTCACGGCCGTGCGCCCCCACCTGTCCTCGTGCCGCCAGCCGGGCTGCATTTGGGAGCTTATTTCTGCAGCCCCGGGGGCTAGAGGATTCTGCAGAACTGGAGTGTGCCACGCTAGCCCCACGCAGGCTGATGCCACCCGTGGGCCAGGGGTTGAACTGGCCTATGCTACAGCTGGGGAGCGCCCAGAGCGTGCTGGGCTCCGTCTGGCCTGTCTTTCACTCCGAGACCTAATCATTCCCTCCCCGCAGCCGGCTGTCGTGTCCTGCGTGGAGGGGCCTTCCCCTGAGCCCGCCTTCTCCCCTGGACAGCCCCTTCCTTCCGGGGTATTAGCTACAGCGCCGGGCCCCCGGCCTCCCTTCAGGCTGGAAAGGTGGCCAGCTTTACCCACCGGTCTCCATCCCAGGCCAGACCCCTGAGCGGGCCCCCGCGGGGTCTGTCCACGCCCTGAGGCAGGGACCAGCTCCACTCGTTTGCCGGAGGTGCCCAACGCACTCTTGCAAAGAACCAAAGGAGGGGGGTGGATTTAACACTATTTTTTCGGACCGTCTTTGAACTAACAGAAAGCATTATGGGCTGGTGTGTAGGCACTGGGGCTGCTCGGGAGAGCCGGGGTCTGGTCCTGGCTCTGCTGCAGACTCGTGATCTTGGGCGAGTCTTTCCACGGCTCTGTGCCTCAGTTTCCCCTCTTGCAGAACGGGGTTCAAGATAGGTCACTCCCCAATGGGGCGGAGGAGGGCTGCACGGATAAGCCCAGGGGTGTCTGTGAGGTGCTCGGACACGGCTGCACGGTGCAGCCTGCGAAGATGGTTCCCCGGGGGCGCCAGAGCAACCAGGGAAAGCGGGGGGCGGGTCCCCGAGGGGTCAGCCCTGGTACAGCTCAGAGCGGCACGGTTCGGCTCCAGCCCGGCCGCTCCGAGCTAGCTGCCCGCAGAGGTGCCCGGCGCTGCACGACTCAGCCCGGCCGCCACGAGCCCCCCTCCCGGCTGGGTGGAGACGTCACTGAGCATGCGCAGTAGCAGCATGGTCGCTGCTTGCGGCTGCGGTTCAGCCCCCACCCCGGCCCGGTGGGCTCCGAGCACGGAGGGGCCCGGCCCGGCCCCGGCCCGCCATGGCCGCCGGCGGGGACGGGGCGGCGAAGCCGCTGCAAACCGCCATGAAGCTGGCGGCCGGGGCGATCGAGCTGGACACCGGGAACCGGCCACGGGTGAGCGGGGCCGGGCGGCGCGTCCCGTGTCCCGTGCGTGGGCCCCGCTGTGCCCCGCGTGGGAGGGGCCTTGTGCCCGGCGCTGGCACGCAGCTGGGGGCGGCCTCGCGTGCTCGGGGGGCGTTGCTGGGCCACGTCCTCCCCCCCCCCCGTGTCCAGGCTGGAGGCGGGGCTGTGTCGGGCCGGGGCTCGGGGACAGCAGCCCCTGGGGCCCGGGACGGGGCCCACGACCCAGCGGGGTTCTTCCCACCAGGGATTGCACGCGGGGGCTGGGCTGGGCTTGGCTTTCCCTTCCGCGCCTGGGCCTGGTGGTGTTGGCAGCGCCGGATGGGGCAGGGCCACAGGCTCCTACAACAGCCCCTAGCTGGTGACCCCTCTCTAGGTGGGGGGTGCATCCAGCCCAGGGCTCCCACAGTGCACTGCCTTAAAAGAGTCTTGGGCTCTTGGGTGTTACCGCCCTACAAATGTTACACAATGACTTCACTCTAAGGCAGGACAACCAGGGCACTCCTTCACTCCAGCCCGAGATCAAGGCAATCATGTGGGAGGCATGGTCTGGGGCCTGCCACCCCTCTCCCCACGCCCAGCTCCAGCCCTGCACAGGGCCCTGCGCACTCGCTGTACAGGGTGTGCGGATGGATGACGGGGTAGGATGCTGGACTCAAGTTGGAACCACATTGTAGTTGTTCATCCAGATTCCACACCACACAGAGCCTTCCAGATTGGGGGGGAGGGAAAGGGGGCTGGGAGCCTCCCGCACTGGGGGACAGTTTCTCCAGAAGGAATTGGGAGGCCTTTTCAACACTCATTATCCAGGGCCCCCATACGAACCTGCTGCAGGGATTGCATCTCAGCGTCTTTCTGGTGCCTGCTGCAGGATGCGGCAAGCTCCTAGTGCCTGGGGTAAGAAGTGACCACGCGAGGGTCTCTAGGAGCCTGGGGGGGAACGAATCCTTAGATTCCACAGTGCTGGTGCTGTACAGAACCCTGCGAGACCAAGGTGAGGAGACTCACCACCTCCCCCAGTCTATCTCCCAAAAGAGGCCCCCCAGAGCGCTCTCTGATGTGCTTCAGCTGGGAGTTCGTCTGCAGAGTGGGTCAGGGCTGCAGGTTCTGTGGCTCTGATTTCTGGGTGAACGGGTGGGTGGATGATGCTTGGTAAAGGTGAACTTGGTAGAACCAGCTGCTCCTTAGCCCCCCACTTCTCTGTTCCTTCTGGTTGATAGGAGGCCTACGTGGAGTACTTGAAGAGCATCAGCTACATTTCCGAGGCCCTGCTGGAGGAAGTAGCAGCAGCGAAAGGTACAAAACAGCTTCACATTGTTTTCTCCCATCCTCTGAAGGGTGGGTCACGGCCTAGTTACCTCCCTGGACGCACTCGCCTGATATTTGGGGGGAGCCTCCAGAGATGAACAGCTGTAATGCCGCGAGAACCCCCAGCCTGGGATTCTGCCCCAGCAGGGGTGGGGCTCTGTGGCTTAACCCGCAATTCAAATCTTGGCTCCTAGGGGTTATTTTGATTGTTTAATTACTGTAAAAGTGAGCTGTGGGAGGAGTGCTGTACAGCTCACGAGTGAAATACAGCTCTCTGGCACCGAGTAGCCGTCTCCACGCTCCAGTCCCAGCTGCCCTCATTCCTCCAGCCACTTGGAAGGTGGCAGGGATTGTGTGGGGGTGGGCAGCGGATGATGAACGGTCACATACCTGGCGGTGTTGCGCTCCACCCACATGCACGCAGGAGATCCCTTGGTGGAAGGGAACTGCCGACCCTGAAGATTCCCACTAGCAGGCAGTGTCTAGCAAAAATTTCTAGCAGTAACCACCAGACTTACCACTTCCATGGTGAAAAGCAGACACTGGACTGCTTTTCCCTCGCTCTCCAGAGGCTTCACAGTCCTGAAACATTCGTTTTCCTTCATGGCTTGGTGTCTGTCCCCTGGGCCCGCTGCACAGTTGTGGGCTTTCAGACTGGCCCTGTGTAGTGCACCATGTGACTGCATCCATGTGCCAAGGACTAAAGGAACAAGGAACTACTTCACATTGTTGGCTGCCTCTGTGCTGGAAGTACGGATAACCGTCTTCATCCTTCACGTAGCCGCAGTCTGAGTGAGTGGATCAGCAAATCCAATAGAACCCCAGAGTTATGAACCCCTCGGGGATGGAGACTGGCCGTAACTCTGAAATGTTTGTAACTCTGAACAAAACATTGTGGTTGTTCTTCCAAAAATGTACAACTGAACCTTGACTTAATACAGCTTTGAAATGTTACTAGGCAGAAGAAAAAGGCTGCATTTAAATGAAACAGGCACAGAAACAGTTTCCTTACCCTGTCAAAATCTTTTTTTAAACTTTCCCTTTATTTTTAATAGTTTCGGTTGAACACCGTACTGTTCTGTACAGTGTTTGCTTTTCTTTGCCTCTGCTGTCTGACTGCATACTTCCCGTTCCAAGGGCAGGGTGCGGCTGACCGGTCATTTCATAACTCCGAGGTTCTATTGCACCCTCCGAGTCTGTCAGCAGAGCACCTGGGGCACTCTGCAGCCAGGAAAGAAAGGGTGCGGCCTCCCTGGATGCCTCCTGCAGTTTGTTGGACCCAGAATCCTCTGGGGTCCTGTTAGGTGGCGTTGGTAAAGACTGCTGGAGGCTGCACCGCGTCCGGTGGAGGGGGCCAGCTTGGAAAGTCTCTTGTCTTAGAAGGCCCTGGAGAAAGGCAGGCTGCAGTGCTCAGGGAACGCTTCCCCTTGAAGCATGGCCCTGTGTCCCGGCTGGCCGAGGAGGAGGGCGGGGTACAGAACAAGCTGTCCCTGCCCGTTGGTTACAACACAAAGCAGCCCACCGGGAAAGCGGTGCCAGTTGGAGGCCTGGCTGCCCCCCCTCCCCCCCCTGCACCTTCCTGTCTGGGAAAGGACACCCAGTGACCCCGCCTCTTGCCTGTGCCAGGTGGGAGCGAC